CCGTCGGGCCGGGTTTAAATTGCCATCCCTAATCTAGTCTGCCCTAAGGGGTTGTGTCCATGGCACCGAGCTTTAGATGTACGTCGGCGGGGACACCGTATTCCTCCCGGAACGCGACTAGTGCGATTGACGTGTCAACCAGGAAGCGGTAGCGCCCCATATGTAGCCGGCTGGTTTTAGCATGGCTGTGTTGGTTTGGCAAATTTCTCGGTTGATGGCTGTTCGGCCTTAGAGAGCCTCAGTATTGGTGCGTGGTCCCCTTGGACTCTGCAGTAAAAGGAAGTTTAAGTGTAAACGGGAGCGCGGTCGCGCAAAACGAGTTTGACTTTAGCTTGGTCAGAAGGAGTGCCTAACCATCTCGGTCACAAGGGTAAACCCAGAAGCTCGGTCGCTCAAGCGGGCCAGATTTTAGCCTGGTCGAGCGGTTCCGTACTTTGTTACCTCAGTTCATATGCGAGTTTTGCAAACTGACAACTTGCTTGGTGTTGGTGTTTTTTGAGATCAAACGAAGACCTGGAGCCCATTCGCCCGAGATCCCCATGTGTTCATCACTGAGGTTGAAGAACAGTAAAGAGAACAGGGGCAAATGAGGGTTTTGGGGGATTATATCCTAAAACCAATGGTTTTTCGTGCCCAAAAATGTGAAATCTCAAATGAAAAAGCAATAAAGGGGTTCGAAGAACTTACCAGAATGGGGCAGAAGTTGAGTCTTCAAGCACGAACGTGGTAGAAAGCAAGAATGGAGCTTGAAAAAACAATGAAGGGCACTACAGGTCGTCTGGAATGAAAGAGAGACAGTAAGAAGAAAATGAAGGGGGATGTGGCGTGTTTATAGGAGAAAAGAACCGCCTAAATTTGAATCTGAAGAGACGGCTGGGTTGGCTGCTCGAGGTCAATAAATGATCGACGCGTGTCCCCATTGACGGCAGCGTCAGTATTGAAGAGACAGGAAAGCGAGTTGAGACATCAACCGAGCAAATCAAAAAATCGAGCTTAGGGATTAACGCGGTTAACGTTTCGCGAACTAAGAACCGGGGAAGAATCTACCCCGTTCGGATCAGGTAATCCCAGTCACGCTTGCGCGGATGAAATTAAGGGGCAATTTAAAGGGAGATTTATAATCTGGCTTTGGGTCGTGGAGGAAGTCGGACTGGATAGGGCCGAGCACGTTTGGGCCGAGCTAATTTGGGCCTATTCCAAGTGGGTTTCACTCAGTCGTGGCTCGGGCCCCCTAGACCGAGCTAACTGGGGCTTCCCTAGAGTTGATCTTGCTCGATCGAGGCCCAGGCCCGAGGTTTAGGTCCCATGTTTGGATCGAGCTTACTTGGCCGAGATGACCGCTTGCAAACCCGGGTTCCATGGGTCACACGCGTAGCTCGGCGGGAAATGTCTTCTGTTCACCGGCCGACCTGTCTTGAGCTTGGCTCTGCCAGAATGCTACCGAGCTCGGCTGTTATGGGGCTCAACGACTAGAGCACTCTGGCAAGTTACGCAGCACGGTCGTGGAAGGCCGAGGTAATGCCGTCGGGCTGCCAGAGTTCCCGCTAATGTTGTCTGACGGTTTAGTTAGGTGGTGTTCGCTGGATTTGTACTGACAGATGGGAGAGCAGCTCCACGTGTCGAGAGACTAATGGGTACAGAGTTAGCGCAGAAAGTATATAAGCATGACTGCGCCCCCCATGCTAGGGATGGAACATCATTTGGTGAGAAACACTCATTGTGATATATCTCTCTCTTCCTCTCTCTCTCCCTGAGTGTGTGTGCTAACTTGACCGTCGGAGGGGTTTTTGAGGCCACACACCGCCGGGTAGCTCACCGCCGTTGTGTTCGCAAGTCGATCGGATAAACAAGGAGCTTGGACGAAAGGAGTACGGGCTCCGCGGAATATTTGCTCCCTGACCTTGTACATTTATGTATGATGAAATTATATAATTATAATGAATAATGTTAAGCATTTCAAATGTTTTATCAAATATTCTATCAAATGTTTTACATGGGTGAGGGATTCACATAGGATAGGACCCACATGGTATGGACCCCATACCTATGTAGGACATTTGATAAAACATTTAGTAAAATATATTGGATCGCTAATATTTTTCAATTATAATTATTTAAGCAATTTAAACATTGGCAAATTGTATCATTAAAATTAGATCTAAATCAAACTATATGAATCTATACATATCAATTCATATATTAATTAGTGTACTAACAGATGACGTGACATAATTTTATTGACTTTGAATCTTTGAAGTTTGTATAATAAGTGGAGTCTATAATTTGAAAATGAATAACATTAAATGCACTAATTGATATACTAATATTAATTAGTGTACTAATAAATAATGTGACATAATTTTAAAAATTTTAAATTTATATAATTTATATAATAAGTGAAATTATAATTATAATATTATAATATATATTAATACACTAATACAACATGTGTTATTAGTACACTAATTGATAAGTAACACCATTGGAACCGAAAACTAGTCCAATCCTCAACTCCTATGTGGAGTTGGATATGGGATCCTGCTGTGTACTCTTGTGGAGTATTGTTCTGAGTCTCTTTCGATAATCTAAATCGATATTGTAAGATTGGTTAAATAGATTATTCATACAAAAAATGAAGTTGATTGGATATCTACAGTCTAATAATCAAAGTATATTTGTTTTTATAAAAATCAAATGTTAACATAACTTTTTAAAAATAATTAATATCTCATTCTAAGATTATAAATATTCAATTAATTTAATTTTTTACATGCATAATATTATTAATGAATCTTACAATATAAACGATTTAGATTATCGAAAAATATGCGGAGCCAACTATTTTTGTAAACAATTTAGATTATCGAAAAATATGCGGAACCAACTCTCAAAAAGAGGCACAGCAGGCTGTTATGCAACCCAAGTCCATGTGGGGGCCACAGACTTTGCCCTTTACCCTCCTGTAATTGCGGATTTAACAGTACTGCTGGCTAGGGCTGTGCAGCGGATCCACTGACCCGCCCAATCCGCCCGACCCGACCCCTAATGGGTGGATGCGTGGTATGCAACGGACGGGTGCGGGTCCAGGATTCTTGATTTTTCGGGTTCGGGTTGGGCTGTAGGTGATCCACCATTATACCCACAAAACCCGACCCGACCATGACCCCCCTTTTTTTGTGCATGTTTTTTTACGCCTCAGCCAGCCCTTTTCTTTAGTTTACCCTAAACCTAGTTCCTTATTTCAGACACAGAGACACACACACCTTTTCTCTCGTTTCTCTCTTCGCTCTCTCTCTCTCTACCCCCGAAACCCTACCCATCGTCGTTGTCGTCCTCGTCCACGTCCAACGGTCTACACTAAACAGTCGACTGACGATCTACTACACTGAATGGCGATTGGCTATCGATCTATACCGAACGATATTCTCCTGCGATCTACTTGTCTCTGCTCATATTCTACACTAACGGTATGCTCTGCTTTTCTTCTTTCCTCTTCTTCTCTTCTCTTTTTCTGTTTTTCTCTTCTTCTTTCCTCTTATTGTCTTCTCCTGTTCTCTATTATGTCACACTCTCTGTATGTGTTGTTTTCTACCTCTTATTCAACATTTCCGCCTCTTGAATTTTGGGTTCAATTCCGTTTGTTGTATGTGTTGTGTTCAATTTTAGTTTTATTGAGAAACTACTTCAGAATTGATTAGGAAGTTGTGTTTATAAATTGATTGATTTCGGAACTGTTTCAGAACTGCTTCGGAACTGATTTAGTTTTAAAAATGGATTGATTTTGTTTTACAGTGCTTCCATACAAAATTTGTGTTTATAAATTGATTTAGGAACTGAAAATAAATTGATTGATTTCGGAACTGATTTAGTTTTATAAATTGATTGATTTAGTTTTACAGTGCTTCCATAAAAAATTTATGTTTATAAATTGATTTAGGAAGTGATTTAGGAACTAAAAATAAATTGATTGATTTAGGACCTGATTTAGTTTTATAAATTGATTGATTTCGGAATTGCTTCGGAACTGATTTAGTTTTATAAACTAATTGGTTTAGTTTTACAGTGCTTCCATAAAAAATTTGTGTTTATAAATTGATTTAGGAAGGTATTTAGGAACTAAAAATAAATTGATTGATTTAGGAACTGATTTAATTTTATAAATTGATTGATTTCGGAACTGCTTCAGAACTGATTTAGTTTTATAAATTAAATTATTTGTTTTTGAATTGAATGTGAATTAAAAACCAATGTGAATTGAATTATTTGTTTTTGGTCTGGCAGATTGGCAGTATATCAAATATATGAATTGTGCACTTGCACCATCTTTTGCTTACCTATGTTTTGGCAGTACTTTAGGAAGTGCAATGCACAATTAAATTATGTTCAGGTTCTATTTTTGAGAAAGTGCACAATTTTATGTTGAAAATTTGTAAATTTTTAAACCGCCAAACCGATTCGTATCTATCCACCACCAATCCGCCGCCAATCTGGCGAGCGGATGGCGGATTGGAGGTTTCGTGACCGCAACCGATCCGTGCCCACCCCTACTGCTGGCTTCTGTTGTGTCCTTTTGTGGGAGTCCATTCTGAATTTTTTTTAATAATTTGGACTACTCATATTATATTATAAGTTTTTTTAAAAATATTATTCATATAAAAATTTAAATTAGTCGAATAATCTTAATTCTATGATTAGATTCTAATTATTTTTAAAAATTTATGAATGTTAACCATTAATTTTTATGAAAACAAATATATTTTGGTTATAGAACTACAGTTATCCAATCAATTTGATTTTTTGTATGTCTGATCTACTTAATGAATTTCACAATATGAACGGTTCAGATTATTAAAAGAGGCCCAGGATGACACTCCGCAAGGGAGCACAGCTGTGCCCAAAGGCACAGCAAATTCCAACTCGACTTTAGGATAAGAACCGATCTCTCCATTTTTCTCTGCAACCGAACAAAACAGAGCATAAATATAAAATGCAAAATTCTAAAAGTCATCAAAATTTCCAAATTCTATTCAAGTTCATTTGCTGACCCATCACTAGCGTAAATATCTTATCTCCCTTTGAGCTCCAAGGTGGGGAGAGAGAGAGAGAGAGAATATGTCTATATTGGCACCAAATTCTCAGATTCTATGCAGAGAAATCTATCAGAATCAGAGGGAGCAACAACAACAACAGTGTTGGCATGGTGGGAATTGTTTGGTTTTGTGGAAATCATATGGGTTTGGTTTTGATAGTAGAAAAGATGAGTGGAAGAAGAAAGCAAAGAGAGAATTGATCAAAGTGGGTGCTTTCTTTCCAGACTTGTCAAGACCCAGTGTAGTTGAGATGGAGCCCATTCTGGACTCTGATCATCTTGATCAGATCCTACTCAAAGCTCAAGAATTCTCCCAACCCATTATCATTGACTGGTCCCTCTCTCTCTCTCTCTCTCTCTCTCTCTCTTTAATTCTAATTGTAAATACATGAAAGGAGCTCTGTACATCTTCTGCAGCCATACTTCTTCATGCATACTTACTAACAATTTTTTTTTTAAAGCTTTCGCAGACCTAACACTAGATGTTACTGAATTACTAGATTTTGATGATTTTGATTTCGAATAGAAGTGTACAAAAGGTGTTATGCGAACTCTTTATTTATTTGTTTTTGAGGTTTAGGTTTTTGTTAAATAATTTGTTGTTTACATTGGGTTAATATAGGATGGCTTCTTGGTGCCGAAAGTGCATATATTTGAAGCCAAAATTGGAGAAAATGGCAGCTGAGTACGATACCAAGTAATGTCTCTCTCTCTCTCTCTCTGTTGTGAGACAAAGAAACACATCTTGAACCCACACCCCACATTAATGGTTGTGTACTATCTGCATAGTTGCATATGTGTAGAATTCTTATGCTATCTGCATAGTTGCATATGTGTAGAATTCTTATGCTGTAGAATACTATTTCTGTTGTGGGTGTATCTTGAATTCGATACAAATTGTACTTGTTATTAATGAGGTTCATCGATCTGACCCCTGTATTTGTATTTTGGATATATTTTAATTCAAGTTGCTTATTTTAGATCTTATATATATTGGGTTATTTCAAAATTCTTAAGTTAATAATGATCTTGTGAGCTCAGATTTGAGCGAGAGAGAGAGAGAGCTTCATTATAATTTCTACATTCGTAGCATAAGGCCTCTTGATATCAAGCAAATTAAGCAAAATAATATTTCTTCAAATAATTTTGACATCAAAATCATTGTATATGAGTATTGATCTCAATGTTGTTTTTTTCACAGATTGAAATTTTATTGTGTGGATGTCAACAAAGTGCCTCAGGCTCTAGTCAAGCGAGGAAACATTTCTGTAAGTTTAATGTTAAAACAGTCGAATATTATCTATTGTTTCCACCATTATCTGATGATGATTATTGGTTCATCTTTCCTTGCTTCCTACTGACATTGATGTTCTCTGTGTTGCTGCTTTGCTCAGAAAATGCCAACTATCCAGGTCAGCTCAATCTCCAATACCCCCATTTTCTGTTTTTTTATTTTCATTTTGGAAAACACAAATTATTTGTTTGGTAAATTGCTTTCAAGACACTTATATAATGGGGGGTTTCATATAGTAGTGTTTGTATTGCAGCTATGGAAAGATGGAGAGATGAAAGCAGAAGTAATTGGAGGACATAAAGCATGGCTTGTCATGGATGAAGTTAGAGAAATGATTCAAAAGTTTGTATGATGTATATATTCTTTATTCACTCAAAGCTCTCTCTCTCTCTCTCATCATGTTTATGACAACCAACTTGGTGCTTATATCATATGGATTACAATCATTTGTACATCCAATACCAAGAATCAAGGAAAATCACTCTTCAAACCAATTTGCAGAATTCTTTTTCAGTTTGAACAGTTAAATGGTGAAGTCTCGAACAAAACATCAGTTTTTTCTCAAGCATAAATTGAAAATCAGAAGGAAAAAAAAGCACTACAGCAACGAACCAACTTCACAACAATTTGTCATCCCTTCTTAGATACAACCTAATTCATACTCATTTGAAGTACTAATATTTGGAGTAACAATAAAATAGTGTGGAATGATGGGTTCTATAATCATCCAAGAATTCTACTTCTTATCACTGCAACCTTCAACCACCGGCAACGAAAATCAATTTGATATATTTCATGGTGTAGAAAATAAAGGCTGTTAAAGGCTGCAACAATGACAAGAAACAAACATGTCGGACATAAACACTTGGGTAACATCATTTCCAATCCTTTATCAGATTTTTCATCAAATTTAAATTTAATGAAAAATTGATAAAAGTTGTGATCCAACGTAACATCAAACTAATATTAAATTCAAGATATCTCAGATCTTTCATCAAATTAAGAATGTCTAAGCCTTTCATTAAATTATTATAGATAGTCGTTAACTTTATAAGTATGCATGAGCACTGGATGACCGGCCGAATGTCTAGGTGGTTGTTCCCCCAATCGACCATCTTCTTGCAAAATTTGTTTCAGGATTTTAAAAATTTTACACTGGCCAGTCAACTGGCCGGACATTTATGGTATCAGAGCCAAGTTTTAATTATCACATAATCTAAATATAAATTAAATAAATTAGACATATATGATCACAATACATCCATGTTTGAACAACAAGAAAATACCGTAGAAATACCAGGATCTGAATCAATAACAAAAGTAGGAAATACAGTATCCTCTTTAGCCGAAGCAGCTGAATTAGTAGCTTATCAGGATGTAAAGGAAGCCTTAGATAAATGGACTATCCAAACAGTAGACCCAAAGACTATTTATAAAAAAGGTCACTTTCAATTTTTCAGTAAAACAATAATCAAGACCTTTGAACATGCGTCTTGTATTCAGAATAATGATGAAATAATCCGTTTAATTCATATAAATGATTTCATTCCATTTTTAAAACAGTATAAGTGCATCCATATAGGATTAGTACAAATTGCATTCAAACCTTTGACTCTTCTCGGTCAAAACACCAGTATCCAATGCACCCTTAGAGATGGTAGATGTTTGAACTGGAAAGCTTCACTTATGGGAGCTATTGAGACAAGTTTGTCTCATGGACCAGTATATTTCGATATTTATCCGAACCTTAGCATAGCCTTATGTGATGCTAATCTTTCTGATGTCTTAGAACTTAGAGTTCTTACTCATGGTTATGAGTATAAACCAGGAACCCCTCCTTTTTCAGTACATTCCAGAATTTATATTAAGGCTTTAACAACGTTAAATCCTTATGTTAGAAAGAAATCTGAAACAGGACAAACGGTATTAATTGAAACCAATCTTTACAGTAGTCAGGTAGCCGTACCAAAGTTAATCCCCTGGACGGATATAACATTTCCCGAAAGATGGCATATTCCAAATGCTGTTCCTCCCAAACCGATTATTCAACATAACATTGATGATGTTATTCAGACACAAGGAGGTAATGTTTACCTTCAATTCCAGAAACCTTTACTTACCCGAAGCAGTTCTTCTAATGCTAGTTTCAGAACAGCACCAAGAAGTTTTTCTAACAATAGTTTCCGATCTGTTCCACCCTATCGGGTAGACCTTCCAGAATCTAGTAGACAGTCAGTTGACTCTATTTTCCAACAGATACCTTCTTGACCTCCTAGTCGGCCACCTAGTGACCCCCAAGAAGACCCCATGAATTCAGAAATCCAAGGAATCCGATTATCCCAAAACAGAATTCCTCATGGTGTCTATACAACACCACCTCAACCAGATAGCCCAACGGCCAGTGACATGAATTTTGAAATCCAATGGATTTTACACCAGGAAGTGAAAATAGGAAAATATTAAACCAGGAATTTAACCAGGATAAATATAGAGATTTTAGGGATTGGTATTTTACCAATCATACTCCAAAACAGTTAGCAGAATATAAAACTCAATATTACCAACATCTTGAGTTACAACAGAAACTGATCCCCTTTGTTGAATGGTATCAAACAGTTAGTCAACCCCAGCTAAATACAATTGAAGATCAGTATAAAACCTGGACTACAACAGAAGGACAAGCAATCAATGCTCTACATCCGCCACCTCAAGTATTAGAATTAGCTCCTAATGGTGAGACTACTCGTCAACCATTACTAGCTACTGCCTACATAGATGCTCAATCAGGAAAATTTACCAAAACCGAAGGCTTATTAGTTAAACAAAATAATTATACTAATTTAATCTGTCAAACTATGAGTAAACAATTAACCAGAATTGAAGAAGTTGTTTCTACCTTCAAAGATAGAAGTTTAGCATTACCAGTTACCGGTTCTACTGCCTTACATCCAGTTTCCATCAAACCACCTTTAGAGGTTACTAATTTTAAATTAAAAGCCTCTAATACTGAATTTATGGACACCCTTCTCCAGAAAATGCAAACACTACATGTTCGCCCTCCAGCACCCACACCACCTGGACAATCCAGTGGCTCAATCCAAATGCTTAGAGCTGAGCCTATATCTAAAGATAATTTATCACCATAACAAATTTATGAAATCCAAATGAATTTCCAAGAACCCTCATCTGTTAATAAACTCCATTCGTATAGTTCCTCTCGACCTACTATGTTACCACCCAGTAGGAACTATTATGCCAGATCGACTCCACCTAATGTTCTCTATGAAGAGACTTACATCAATGACCAGGGCAGCTACCATGGCAAAACCATCTATGAATGGAATATCGATGGTGAATCCGAATACGGCATTTATAAGAAATTACATCAGATGCTGATGTATGCAACCGTTTGCCGCCAGTATAGTAACCAGGACCAAGCCATTGCCAAATTTATTATTAATGGTTTTACCGGACAACTCAAAGGATGGTGGGATAATATCCTCACCCTCACCCAACAGTTAGAAATTCTCAATTCCGTTAAAGTTGAAGTTGATCCTACCACACATCAGCCTATCCAACAGCAGGATGCTGTTTACATGCTCATCCAGACCATAATTCTCCATTTTGTTGGAACCAGTACCAGTTCTCAAGACCGAGGCCTAGAGCTCCTTCAGAACCTTCGTTGCCCATCTCTTACCCACTTTAGGTGGTACAAAGATGTTTTCCTCATCAAGGTTATGCAACGACCTGATGGTAACAGTACCCATTGGAAAGCCAAATTTATTGATGGCCTTCCTACCCTTTTTGCCGAACGTGTTAGGAAAAAACTTTGGGACCGCCATGACCGGATGTCTATTCCTTACGAACAGTACACTTATGGACAACTTTGCTCCATCATTACCGATGAAGGTCTTTCTCTGTGTAATGACCTTAAATTGCATCACCAAATGAAACAACAGAATCTTACAAGTAGAAAAGAATTAGGCGAATTTTGTGAACAATTTGCCTATGAACCCGTCATTAAATATCCAGGAAAAACTCGGAAGATTTCCCATAAGAAATCCTCAAAACCTTTCAGAAAAAAGTCCCATAAGACTAGTCATCCGCAAACTACTAAGAAGTTTTATCCCAAAAGATCAACCAGTAAAAATAAAGGTAAAAATAAATCCGAAATTAAGTGCTACAAATGTGGTCAAACAGGACATTATGCAAACCGATGTAAATCAAAAGCTAAATCTCAGGTTAATGAATTAAATCTTGATTTAAGCATTAAAGACCAGATAATTCAAGCCCTTGAAGCGGACGAAAATTCAACTGACGAAGAAATCCCTTCTGAAGATGAAATTAATCAGTTATATTCCACTTCCACTAGTGAAGATGAACCAGAAGAATCCTGTCCTTGTAATACAAATCAGGAACACATATCAGAAATAAATTATTGGAAATCAATTGTAGAAATGAATGGATTACATTTAGGTGAACCTAGCAGTATTAATGTTTTAACTGATACCCAGAAGGATATGCTTGCTGTCGCAGATCAGATCCAAGATCCAGAAATAAAAATGAAATATTTAAAAATGTGTTATGAACATCAACAGACAATTCAGGAAACTCCTCCTTTACCCGACTAGTCTTATAATCTCCAAAATGTAATTAACAGAATCCACACAAAACCAGTATTAGAACAACCAACTACACTTCAGGATTTAAAAATGGAAATTAATATCCTAAAAACAGAAGTCAAACACTTGCAAACTGCAAGTGAAGCTGCCACCAAAGATATTAAATATCTTCACAACCAGTTAAGACAACAAACAGGAAAAGCCGTTGAGAAAGCCACTGAACAAACTGAACAGCAATCTAAATCTGAAACTTCTACCCCGTACTTATTACTTGTTAATCAAGTAACTTTTCAGAAATGGTATATTAAAATTTCATTTTTAATAAAACTCGATTTTATGATTAAAGATGCTATTGCTTTAGTCGATAGTGGAGCCGACATGAACTGTATCCAAGAAGGTATAGTTCCTACCAGGTATTTTGAAAAGACTACCCAGAGTCTAACCAGTGCAAGTGGAAATTCTTTGCAGATCAGGTACAAAATTTCGGAAGCTTATATCTGTAATCAAGATTTATGTCTACCTACATCTTTTGTATTAGTCAAAAATCTTGCCCAGAATATAATTTTAGGCACACCATTTTTATGTCTTTTAATGCCTATTCAGAAAATTGATCAAACAGGTATTTATTCTCAAATACAGGGAAAATCAGTAATCTTTGAATTTATAACAGAACCTTATACCAAAGAATTAGATCAAATTAGGGATCTAGTTACTTGTAAACAAAATCAGATAAATTTGTTACAAAGAGAAGTCCACTTCTTAACAACAGAACAACGGTTACAACAACCTTCTTTACAACAGAAAATTAAATTGTTAGAAAACAAATTTCAAACAGAAGTTCGTGGTAATGTTCCTAATGCTTTTTGGAATTG